GTTTAAGGAATTTAAACAGGAAGTCGAGAATCAATTGGGCAGGAACATTAAGATGATTCGATCCGATCGAGGTGGTGAGTATCTTTGTTCAGAGTTCCTCGACTATCTTAGGGAATGTGGGATTATCTCACAATTCACCCCTCCCAGGACACCGCAGTTGAATGGTGTAGCTGAGAGGTGTAATCGAACCTTGTTGGACATGGTTCATTCCGTTATGAGTCGAGCTTCGCTACCAATCTCATTTTGGGGGTATGCCTTAGAGACTGCCGCCCATATCCTTAATCTAGTCCCTACAAAGAAAGTTGCCAAAACTCCTCACGAAATGTGGACTGGTAAAGTACCTAAACTAGACCACATCAAGATTTGGGGTTGCGAGGCTTTTGTGAGACGCGAGACTCATGATAAGCTAGAACCCCGAAGCGAGAGGTGTATTTTCATCGGCTACCCACAAAGATCCTTTGGTTACCTCTTCTACAGACCTAGTGATAATGTGGTATTTGTAGCAGGAAGAGGAGTCTTTCGAGAGAGAGAGAGAGAGAGAGAGAGAGAGAGAGAGAGAAAGAGTTTATAAGCCAAGGAGACAGTGGGAGGCTAATTGATCTTGAAGAAATTTAAGAGTCAAGTGGTGAAGGAACTTCAAACGCTAGCCCTCAACTTGAGGAGGAGACTCTTGTTGAGCCAATTGATGAATCTGTACCTCTAAGGTGTTCCACGAGAGTTAGGAATGCACCTGAGCATTAGTATGGTTTCCATATTATTGTAGAAGGTGAGACACTTATTAGTGATGAGACACTAGTAGGTCTGGATGAGCCTAACAGCTACACGGAAGCCATGGTAGGCCCTGAGGCTGCTAAATAGAAAGAGGCTATGGATAGGGAGATACAATCCATGTATGACAATCAAGTTTGGAACTTGGTTGAGAATGTATCAGGTCGTAAGACTGTAGGGTGAAAATGGATCTTCAGGAAGAATACTGACATGGATGGTAATGTACATACTTATAAGGCTCGATTGGTTTCAAAGGGCTTCTCTCAAATTCCTGGAGTGGATTATGATGAGACATTTTCTCCAGTAGCCAAGATTAAGTCTATTAGGGTTATGTTAACCATAACTGCATTTCATGACTATGAAATTTGGCAAATGGATGTCAAAACCGCTATCCTTAATGGAAAGTTGACTGAAGATGTTTACATGAGTCAGCCAGAAGGTTTTGTCAGCAACAAGTACCCTAATAGAGTGTGTAAGCTTGAGAAATCCATTTATAGATTAAAGCAAGCACCTTGCAGATGGAATCTTTACTTTGATGAAAAGGTCAAGGAATTTGGCTTTTCTAGGAGTGAAGATGAATCTTGTGTTTATGTCAAGGCTAGTGGGAGTATAGTTATCTTTTTGGTATTTTATGTGGATGGCATACTACTCATAGGAAATGACATCCCAACCCTGCAGGAAGTAAAGTCCTGGCTTGGGAAGTGCTTCGCTATAAAGGACCTTGGTGAAGCTGCCTATATCCTAGGGATAAGAATTTTGAGAAACAGGAGTAAAAGACTAATTGGACATAGTCAAAGCACCTATGTGGACAAGGTGTTGAAAAGATTCAACATGTAGAACTCCAAGAAAGGTGAGTTACCCATTCAGAGTAACGCCGGATTGAGTAAGACACAAAGCCCTAGTACTGAGGCTGAGATAGCAGAAATGAGTCGACTACCTTATGCTTCAACTGTAGGATCGATCATGTATGCTATGACGTGTACTCGACCTGATGTAGCATTTGCTTTGAGCATGGTTAGCAGGTATCAGGGGAACCCTGGCAAGGCACACTGGACTGCGGTAAAGAATATCCTCAAGTACCTGAGGAGAACTAAGGACTGGGTCCTTCCTAAGGTTATATCCCTCGTATTTTAGGTCCTCGTTCTCTCTACGCAGTAATTCAATCTGTTCACAAAAAAATTTAATAGTATCAATATAAGTTTGTAAACAGGAAGTTTGATTGACCTCTTTCTTTTCAGATTCTGGGGTAGTGGACATCATGAAAGCAAATTGTAATTCCTTCATCTCTGCATCTGGATCTTCTTTAGATTTATGTTTAGGGATGTCACTGATATAGGCCAAGTGAGCATTTTCATGTCCAGAAATTTTTAGGGTCTGGATTTGATCCTTCCAGTCAAATGACTAGGCTACCAATGCTAGATTCACAGTTTCGGTGTTAGTAGCAACTCCCCTATCATTTCCAACCAGCGCCATCGTCCTTTCATTATTCACTCTACCATCAGGTTTAGGACAATCACAAGCAAAATGACCCGACTCGTGAAAGTTAAAGCATCTCAGCTTTCCCTTGTTGAAAGCAACTTTCTTCTCCGCATTCGTTCCCCAATTGTTCTTTCCTATTTTCTTTGCAAACTGCTTGCCCCTAGATACTTCCATTGCGATCTGCCAAGTGATGCTTATCTCCTCCACATCCTCTAGGTGAAATTGATCTAAATCAGTGAAAGAGATCTATCGTGGCAATTCACCAGCCACAAAGGCATTATAACAGTTCACCAACCTAGAAGCTAAAGTCATGTTCTCATCAGCTACTTTGGGAGTGGAGGTGGGAGCAACGGCTTTTGAGAAGGAGGTTGCATATGGATATGGCATGGATAGTTGAACGACCTAGGATGGTGTCTGTGGAAAAACAAAGGCTTAATTTTGTGGAGCAAGTGCAGTAAAGGATGAAAAAGCATTGTTTGAAGAAATCCCAAGGTTTGTAGTAGAATAAGAGTTCACGTGATTGATTTCTCTCTGTTTGTCATCAAGATCACATGCTTTAATGGTTCCATTGTTTCCGCAGGACTAAGTCTGTTGAGATCTTTTATCTTCTTGATTCCATAACTTTGGGAGAGAATTAAGAAGCTTCTTGTTGATTTCTGATATTGACACTAAGATTCCAGCTGAACTCATCTCAGTGGTGATAGTAATGAAATGATGTACTTGAGTTTCCAAAGTTTCTACAAGAACGTGATTGAAAATATTGAACTTCTGTCAAAGCATATCCTGACGACTTTGTTTCATATCCTCATTCCCTTCATACACTCCGATTAAGGCTTCCAACAAAGCTTTGGCTGAGTCATATTCACGGAAGCCTTGAGCAATCTTCAGAGATCATGCGATTGTAAGTGTAGCCAGAGCCTTCTCTTGTTCCTCGTTTTACTCAAAGTCTTCATCTGTGTAGTTTGCGAAGTCTTTGTCAACAATGGTTCCATTCTACAGAGTGGTAGTGATTCTGACTGGACCCTTCAAATACTGCACCATATCTTGAAATCCTTCATCTTGATGTACTTTTCCATTCGGTATTTCCATTTCGGGAAACCTTCTGCTGACAGAAGACGTGGGATTCTGGTAGTTGTTCCCATAATCGAGTCAAATTCCTGATAAGCTGTTAAGTTTTGTGATTCCATTTTTTAATTTATTTAAAAAAACAAGACTTAAAATGAAAATGTGACCGAAAACGAAAGCAGGTTCTATAACCAAGAAAGGTTCACAACCGCAAAGGGTTCACCGCCGTACACAGGAGATGATTCACGATCAATGAATGGTTCACGGTCAACGAATGGTTCACTGTCCAATAAGTTGATCACGGTGAAATGAGAAGTTCACGGTTAATTTAGATGAGTGGTTTACTGTTGTACACAGTGTTCGCGGCGGTAAACAATTCAACATATGAAATCATCAACACCCAAATTATGATGAAAATACATGATTTTGAGCTGATTTCGTTTCCTTTGGCCTTGAACTTCACGATCAAATGAAGAAACCTAACAACCAAGCTCGAACAATCCCGAAAATGAAGATTACTCCAACCCTAAACACCATTAGAACAAGTTTGACACTAGATTAGCTCCGATACCAATTGTAAGTCCAGAAAATAGGAACCAATTAGTGATCAAACACACAAACAAGCAGTAAATAATAAGAATAAGACGGAGTAGAAGCAAAGAATGATCCAACAATGCACATGTCTATTAGGCCGCAAACGTCAAGTACACTTGGATACACACATACACAACTATTATTCATATAACACATCTGACACCTATTTAAGGGGAGCAGCCAACTGCAAACATTTTCACGGCCGTGAACACCCATACAGCTGCAAACACATAACCGTACACCTATACATTACATGACCAAACCCTATCAAGACCTATACAGATTGATGTCTACCTCAAACAACAAAATATAACCTAACAATATATATATATATATATATATATATATATATATATATATATATATATATATATATATATATATAGACACACACACACGATGCTAGTTGTCTTTGTGATGTATGCATGAAGTGACTCTTGACACTTATTTGTATATATATATATATATATATATATATATATATATATATATATATATATATATATATATATATATAGACACACACACACGATGCTAGTTGTCTTTGTGATGTATGCATGAAGTGACTCTTGACACTTATTTGTAAGACCTGGGTTTTTGGCCACAGAGATAGAGATACTGTGAAAGACCATGATACATCTCATTGCATGATTGTAATTTTATGATTATGGTTGGCACATAGAATTCTCTATTCTTTGTATAATATATGGTATTTTGGGAAATTCAATAAGTTTTTTGTTTACGGTTTATGTTTATTGTTTCAGATACTTCCGATTTCAAAGAGATGTGTCGAACATAACTGCACAACATCAGTTTTACGCATTTGCTATTCGTGATTTTTTACTCTAATGTTTTAATGATATATTCACTTTGAATTTTTTTTGGAACGACTCCTTTGTAAAGTTTATTATTTTGGAAAAAAGAAGTTAATTATGAATTTTTGAGAAGTTATATGATGTTTATTTTTTATAAGGTAGATTAGTTAAATTTGTTCATGTAGTGGAGCAAATGAATATTGCTATTGATTTTGTTTTACTTCTCATCATTTATATATCTGGTATAAACGATACATCGATCTTGTTGATTATGTTATTCTTCATATTCTCCTTGTCAAATCCAGGTTTTATGTGTTTGCAAATGGATTGACCATTTTAAAATTATTTTAAAGAACTTGCAGGTGTATTTTCCAGCAACCATATGAACCTTTATGTAATTTTGTCTAAAGAAAATTAGGACCACCTTTGACCAACCCAATGTTAGCACACCATTCATCCCCCTTGTCCTACGCATAACAAAAGGAAAATTAAGAACGCCAAAAGGAACATAAAACCTTCCATCGCGCCTAAAAAAATATGCTTCTTTCCCTTCATTTAATTTGGCTACCTGTTGTAATATCGACAGCCACAGCAGCTGAATCTAATGCACACTATTGTGGCCACAACACAACCCGCTTCATAAACACAACTTATTATATAAATCTCATCCAAGTTCTTGATTCACTTGCTTCAGATAACACAGTCAATGATAGCAAATTCGCATATCATACTGCTGGAAGCAGCCATCCAGACATCGCATATGGTGTCTACCTTTGTCGGGAGGATGTTCTCCCAAATGACTGTCGTAACTGCTTGCTTGAAGCCCGTGAAGACATGATTAAGACATGCCCATCATCAAAACAGGCAGTTTATTGGAAAGACGACTGCATGTTACACTATGCCAATTATTCAATATTCTCGATGATGGATTTAGCTACTTTTGTGCCTGAGTGCAACAAGAATAATATTTCTGAACAGTTATCTGAGCAAACTCGGTTTTGGGAAGCTGTTAGGGTTTTCATGAGCAGTTTGGCAACCGAGGCTTCAACTGATCGAAAAAAGAAGTTTGCATTTAGCGAGTTAAACTACGGTATCAAGGAAAAGGTTTATGGTTATGTAGAGTGTACGCCAGATTTATCGAGTTTTGACTGTGGTCGATGCTTTCAAGTTAGCGTTGATCGTTTGCGAGAGTATTGTTATGGAAAACAAGGGGCAAGAGTTTTGACAACGAGTTGCAATATTAGATTCGAGATCTATAAGTTCCTACGATTCTCAGCAACCTCATCGGAGTCAACGTTAACAGGTTTGATAGAAAACTCGTTGATCCTATTTTTGTAATATATATGATATAGCTACACGTGCTTTTTGAATGTATGTGTTGTAGTTGATGACATAAATTTACTGTTGTTCATCAATGGTTTTCAAAATATTGTTCAACTACGTTTTACACGATGCCAGCATCTATATTTCCATGGGATTTGAGTGCCTGAGTGTGGTTTTATTATTTTCTCGCTAAAAACTATTTAAATTCATCATCGCGTTACGCAGGTTTCTCATTTTTTGATATATATTATTATTATACTGTATTTAGTTTTTTATTATATCCTTTAATGGCTCCTGAAATTAATGGAAGAAAGTGACAAACTTCTAAGTTTATATATTACTTTTCACGTACAGGGAAAAACAAATTGTCAATAAATATAGTTGCAGGCATTGTTTCTCCGATTGGTGTTCTATGTGTGATAGTGTGCATATGCCTTGTGTTCATGAGGAAGAAAAGACGTGTTCTCACAATAACTGGTATGTAAAAATTATATACTTATATTCTATTAAACGATTTTGAATGAAATTTCTCTAGGAAAACACATCGATGTGGAAAGACGTTTTTCTAGGAAAAGCACTAGGATGAGTAAATTAGCATATGTTTTTTTACAGAAATTCGGTTCGGATGCATCCATGCGTGAATATTTTAATTTGTGTTTTCCAGTCAACATAAATGCATCTATATATGGTTTAATTTCAATTTTCATGCGACAAATATAATAGTAAATGTGTTCTTTTAGATGATAGTGAAATTATTACCGAGGAATCTTTACAATTCGAATTGCGTACAATCGAAGCAGCTACAAACAACTTCTCCAAACATAATAAAATAGGTGAAGGTGGATTTGGTGGAGTATATAAGGTAAGTTATGTAGATTATTTACTTTAATATTGAACAAGATGTAACTATCTTTTGAATTACTTCTTCTTACTCGCTATATATTGATAGGGAGTTCTGCCTAATGGTAATGAAATTGCTGTGAAGAGACTATCAAAAGGTTCGGGACAAGGGGCATTGGAGTTCAAGAATGAGGTTGTGTTGCTGGCTAAGCTTCAACATAGAAATCTTGTGAGACTTTTGGGATTTTGCCTTGAAGCCGAAGAGAAGATCCTCATATATGAATATGTTGCTAACCACAGTCTTGACTACTTTCTATTTGGTAAGCCTAGAAACCTTCACCTTTCATTAAAGAGTTTATGTGCTTCTTGTTACATGAATACTTACCTCTTTCATCTACATGAAAGTTTAGATTGAATCAAAGGGTTGCCTTCAAACCATGGTAAAAATGTTGAGTTATATTTTTGTTAGACCAAAAGATCACATATATACATATATTTGTCTTGAATGTATTTTTGACATTTTACTAACTAGCTATTATGAAGTACTCACTTTAGAAAATTCCATTTAGGATAACATGACACTTGCGTATTGGACCGATGCACCTTTGTTTTAGACCCTATATATTTCTTTTTTAAAAGCTATTATCCGGTCTTTCTTACTTTTGAGAATATATAGTGGTCCTAAAACTTATTTATCATAACTTTTGGACCAACAAACTAAACGAGTTGATAAGATATTTGCTTGACGTGGAACGTACGTGTCCACTACGTGATAAGTATATCCCGTTTGTCACAAGGAAACTTCGAAAACCAATTTATTTGTTTTAAAGCTCACATTTATAATAATAATTCAGATTCCACAAAACAAGCACAATTGGATTGGTCAATACGTTATAGAATAATTGGAGGAATTTCTAAAGGGATGTTGTACCTACATGAAGATTCAAGATTAAGAATTATCCATCGGGATCTCAAAGCTAGCAATATATTGCTAGACGAAGAAATGAATCCCAAAATTTCAGATTTTGGCATTGCAAGAATTTTCTGCGGAGATCAAACACAAGATAAGACAAATAGAATTGTTGGAACTTTGTAAGTTGTCTAACTTCAATTTTAAAACATATAGTAATCCTTGACATGACACTTTACTTATGCTTTTGATTTTGTGTTTCTCTTTCGTAAGTGGATACATGTCACCCGAGTATGCAATGCATGGTAACTTCTCTATAAGATCAGATGTGTTCAGTTTTGGTGTACTCGTTCTTGAGATTATTAGTGGACAGAGAAACGCAGCACGTTTTGAAACTGGTTATATGGACCTTCTATGTTATGTGAGTACAATCAATAATAATTAGCAACTAGCTAATACGTATTCATCTTAACTATTTTGGTAACCCGTCTTAAAATATTCTTTTCCAGGCATGGGATAAATGGAAGAATGGAGAACCACTAAAGATACTCGATCCAAATGTTGTTGAGTTTTGCTCCAAAAACCAAGTTTTACGCTGCATCAATATTGCCTTATTGTGTGTTCAAGAAGATGCTGAATTAAGGCCTTCAATGGCTTCTTTAGTCATCATGCTCAACAGCTACTCGGTTGTTTTACCGATGCCTGAAAGTCCTCCATTTGTGTCTCAAGGTAGAGGTAGACGCACGACTTCAAAAATGCTAGAACCAGAGAACAGTATAAGTAAGTCGACTGTTTGGGGAAATGACACGTCACTTATTACTGAAGTACGTCCTCGTTCATAACCTCTAAACGATGATGAAACTAGGCGTCAACATATTTAATGTGTGGAGATTAATATAAACGAACACCTCTCATTTAGAAATATTTAATTTGTATTAAACCGTATGTATGATGCTTGTTGCATCAAGGTAGCATGTGTAGTCATAATCCAAAATAACAAGAAAATTAGAACTTGAGTGAAATTAGGAAATGTTTGCTTGTTTACCAAGTATACCTTTGTCACCAAGTCTAGGAGTCTTAGATGTTTGCTTGTTTACCAAGTATAGCTTGTTCACCGAGTCTAGGAGTCTTTTGTTAACTTTTTATAAATACTTGTACGTTTTCTGTTTTTGTATAAGAAATTAAGCCTTGAAAAACCATCTATCTTTTCCCTTATTTTGGTGTAATCACTTTTTCTCTCATGTTCATAATCAGCAGCCGATTTAGGGGGGTCACCGCTAGCACTGAAAACCCTTATTTTTTTTTTGCTGCAATGGAAAATTTTTATGAATTTTTAAAATATATTATTTTGATCGTTAAACCTCTAACTTTTCCGTACAATCCATACTATGAAATCCTACGTTCCTCATTGGTCATAATACAAGATTTATTGAGGTTTAACTTAACCAAATACGTGGTATCAAATTTGTTGTACTATGGCAAACAAAGAAATATCAGTTACTTAGTTACTTATGGTATCCAATGTTGTGTAAGACAAATTATGCAACATGGTCCATAATGATGATGATCCACTTGCAGGTCTAAGAAGTTTGGTACATCATCGAGCCAAATATGAGGAAAGTTAAGATGGCAATGGCTTCTTTTTGATGATAGCAGAGAACCGATCAGCAAAAGGTGCTGGCCACACAAGCAGAAGAATGTACTTGGGTGCAACTCGAAATCACAAATTCAATGTCTTGTAGTATAAAATAAATATACAAATCATTGAAATGGTAAATAAAATCAGTACATTAGAATTAGGGTAATATATTCGTATAAAAGTAACAACCCTAGACCTTGATGAAAAAGTAACAACCTTCGATAACCTCATTTAGGGAAAAATTTGAGGTTTGAAAAAGTCTCCATCTTCATGTTTGCCTATAGTTTGTATTTCCCACTTTTCATCAATGACAACTAAGCATCCTGATTACGATTCTACAATTCATTATAATTAAATTGCAGTATAGGGAAAAGGCTATACTTTAATTAGAGAAAATTTTTGTTTCCTTTGACTCCTGACATCCTATTCTTCGACTTTATCCTTAAACTCGTATTCTCCTCTTTGTACTTAGTGTTGAGTTTTTAAGCTATGTCTTGTACTCTTATAAATTATTTACTAAATAATTGGCTTTTTATATTTATTTACCAATTTTTTTTTAATAAAATATCAATAAAACAAACTATTGACACCTAGTGTTAGTTTATATTGTTTTTAGCTAAACCGTATGGTGTTGGGGGCCTTATTGTAACTATGTCATATATATATTATGCATTCGACAACCTCTATTTTATTGAGGCTTTTACCCTAATCAACATGTCTCAAAGCTAGAGTTATTTTCTACCCACTTCAATCACGTACACGGCCTCAACAAGATATAGTTTTACCCTAAACAACACCTAGGTCTCATACGAGTAACGCTCAATTCCTTGTGAAAGGCTGATCTTGTTCTATATAATTTTAATGCACATTGAACAGGTAGCATGACACCGTGATCGGGATGTCAAGCCCAACAAGCAAATTACACCCTTTGATTACTAAATAAACATAATATAATGGTAAAAAGGGGTATTGATCATCGGGAAAATGGTTGTATTCAATCACCAATGCAATTCAATAGAACTAGTGAAATTAAACTAACTAACTACAATTAAAATAAAAGGGGGGTGTTTGATTACTTGAAAACTAAAATACTTGAATAACTAAAAACCTTGCAATTAAGCAAGTTAATGAGATGCTCAAAGATTGGGAATAATTGGTTAACTAAGGCAATTCAACACAATGAACATTTGTGTATTTATCATTAGGATCTAATACAAAGCTTATCCTTCATCCCAAATTGGTTATAGCAATCATGAAGCATGATATGCTAAGATTCCTCATAGGTAGTATGGAGGTTGGGGAAGCCCACAACACACCTTCTTAATTAAGAACAAGGGTCAATTGAAGCAATTAATCCCAATAAATCAATTAGCCTTAAGAATGAAGGAATCCCCAATTCCTAGAGGATGTCAAATGCTTACACATCTATAAAGGAAATATGATTCATAAGCTAGAGATGATTTCTACCATCATAAAGCCTTTGTTCTAGATGAATTCAATGATCCAATGCAAAATCAATGGAATAAATCAACTATTGCTCAATCAAACACTAAGCTCATGATCAAAGTATCAAATAAGCATAAGAATTGGAAACTAGAATCATAAACATGGAATAAATTGATAATCAACATAAATCCTTCAAAACCCACAAACATTCATTGGTTTTCAGCCAAAGTCAACCAAATAAGAGTATTAGCCACTCATGGCAACAAAGTAACAAGAACAATAATCTAATTGCATAAAGAAACTACCTAAGATTTGGAAAGATGAAAGGAAATGATTTCTAGCTCTCAAAATCGCCTCTTGCAGGTCTCCAATGGTGGAAAATCGTGAATGAGCTTCTAGATCTGATCCTCAAGGGTTATGGCAAGCCAAATGACCAAAATGCCCAAACTGGGCAGTTGCGCGGGTACCCTCGCGACGAAAATTACACCCGCGCAAATGTTGCTGTAATGCTATTGGTCTACCAAGCCACTCCACGCTTCCACTACCAAAGATTCCTTTGGTCCCCCCTCCTTGTCCATGTAATTTGAAATGCACCAATCATCATTTAGCCACCAAGTGGATGCTCCAAGCCCAAAATTAGAAATTTATGATCCATCTTCATAAGCCCAAATAATCCAAGCCAATAACTTTCAAGCCCAATTCTTCCTCTTTGATTCCGCCAAGCCCAATAATGCCTCGGGAGCCCACTAAGCCCATCTCCAATCAACCCGCAACCGCAACAACCACCGAAAAACCTACAAAATATCTTATGCAACATAATAAGCAGGGGGTACGATCCATACTAAAGAAAAATAAATAAAATAAAATGCATTAATGATAAAAAGATCTAAAAATCTAAAATAAACTAATAAAAATAAGGAAATAAAATAAGCTATCACACCGATAAATGAACTGGAACAAAATAATACTTATTATCGAATTCTACTTTCTCTAGACTTTTAGATGATTCTTTTAACGACCCAAACTTTTTAAAGATCTAATTTAAAGGAAATATCAAACTTTTATATACAATAAGTATTCTTCTATCTTCTATCCTTACCTAATAAATATAACACATGTAATTTTATGGTAATTTTGATTAAAAGAAAAGTCATATGTCATTTTGTAGTTTATTTGTATTATTTCTAAAAATAAATTTAATTAATGATTTCATTCCGTTTAATAATCCTTGAATTAAAGAAATATATGGTATCTTGCCGATTTCTTTTGCTAATATAGTGTAATTCCTCAAAAGTTCAAAAAAAAAATTATTAACCCCAAATTCACAACAAATAATTCTAAATCCTTTCCTAATTTATGGGGTGTTTCTTATATTGTATTTCAATACACTAAGTATTTATGCACGCCAATTTTTAGAATCCTACTAAGCACACTAAACTCTATTCGATGAACAATATTCATTCACACAATTAGCCGACTTCTTTCTTGTGAAGTTGAAATTCTGATATGATATTCGGACGACACAAGAAGCAGACCATGTATGTAATTCAATTGATTTTTCGTTTCAAAATATGTGGTGTAGTTCGTGTGGTGTAATTTATGCGTCCACATTGTGCCCATCACATGGTCGATATAATGTGATCTATACTTATTTTAAAATTTTGTTATTGTGGAATTGGTCCCTAAATATCATTGACATAATATAATATCAAAATCATGACACATAAATGGATTTTATAATTTAAAACGAAGGAATATCGTAACAAATACAAGAAACATAAGCATAAATGGAGACTTACAAATATGAATATACTAAAGATCTACATATTCTTGAATCTCTCAGCATATGATTACATTATTTATAAGTGTCTTCATATCGTTTCCTATGATACAAAGAAACCGTGTAGGTTAGGTTGGGAAATGTAGTGAGCATATAGGGTTTCAACCCACCACATTTTATATTTTTGTAACATCCCAAAATTTCAAGCAAAATTTAAACTTTTTAAAAAAAACACTTTAAATCAATAGTTATTACAACTTTGTTTCCAAAATAGTTGTCACACCCCAAAACCGGAATGGCGGAAACGTTCAGGGGTGGAGGACATCATGTTTAGTATCATGAGATATGTATATGGTAAGCAAGTAATGAACAACCATTTCATTTAGAAAGAAAGTGTTTACTATGTGTGTGTTCACAAAACATAGAATTCATACACAAATAACAAAACAAGACTTGAAGCTATAACGCTCCATCTTCTGAATCCCCAGCACGAGCACCTATCTAATAGTCTCCGGAGAATACAAGTTATTTGAAAGAGTTGATCAGCAACTAAGCTGGTGAGTTCATAAGAATTTAGTGATGTGAGTAAGCTATAAAGCGTTGTGGAAAATTGTGACAACCCGAAAGTTCCATTCGTTTGATTATTTTAATATTATAAGTTAACCACTTTGTATCATAAGTTAATGTAATTATTTCTTATTTTTAAGAAATATAAAGTTCGTTTGATTATTTTAATATTATTTTTAAACGAATGGGTGAAAGAAAGTGTCGTCTCGGTTTTTGAATTTCAAAAACCGCAAACACTTCGCGTATTAGAATCACCCGATCAAACTTTTATGTTTTGCGTTGAGAAAATATCCAAAACCGTGAACTCATACCTATGTATGAGTTTACTCCCCAAAAAGTCTAGTTATTGTGATTACTCCACAAATGTCAAAAGAGTAAACTCCAAAAACTCTCTCAAGTATCATCCTAGATTTAATTCCGAATCTTCAAAGTTGTAAGTGTTCTAACCATTTCAAGTTAGTAAAACACTTAATCTACTGTTTGTACATCTATTCATCCATTCATTTACGTATTTTGTCTAGACTCCCAAAACACCAAGAACACACACTAAGTGTTCTTGGCCTTTTAGCTCAAATCAAGCTTTCTAATAGTAAGTGCTTCCATCCTTGAGTGATTTTAAGCTAGTATTTCATTTGAACATCAAGAAAATATGTCAAGAACACAAGCTTAGAGGTGTTCACGGTCCAAGAATGTTCTTGGGCCGTAAACAACATAAATGACACCAAAGTGTGCCTACGTCCCTTGTTTAGCCCTAGTTTGATGTTTAAGCCTTCCATGAATTGATTAAACCTTCCTTTGATGTATCTAAGCCTTGGAAAACACCAAAATCCGACATTTATAGGTGTTTACGGTTTGGGGATCTCCCAAAACCGTAAACAGCCTAAAGTGTGTCTAAATGGGTTATTTCCTTCCTTAGGCTTAGACACTAGCACATACTTACCTAATTGTGTTAGGGACTTGAAAACATCGTAACCCCAAAGTAAAATGCCATGAGGCCGTAAACTCCTTAAAGGAGGTGTTTTGTTGCCCTAGTCCATTCCAAAGGCCAAACCAGTTAGTAGAAATGCTTCAATAGGCTTGCTAAACCACAAAACAACACTTGGTCACTAGAACTAGAGTATACGACCGTAAACTCAACAGTTTACTGTCGTAAACTCCCTATGTATTGACCATCAAAACCGTAAACTCCAAGGGAGTTTACCGTTGGACTCCAAACACGCTAGTTTTGCCCTACCAACACTTGTATGAATTCCTTGTGATCTTTAACACTTGAAACAAAGTGAATTCATGTTCTAGGGTGTCCCAACTTAATTTATTAGTTATAAATTGGCTAATTAGTTATATATATGTTCATTATATGATAACTAGGCTTGTGCGTGTGTACAAGTCTTCATTTCTCACCTAGCACCGTACCCGACACTTCAATCCAATCCACTCACCACAAGTGAGTTCATACCCCTTTAACTAACCTTTGAAATACTTTTAAATGTTTTAAATGCTTTATGGGGGGGGATACAAGTTGAATACTTATAGTTATTACATCAATCACATGTGAATAATAACTACAAAACCAA